TTCATGCCGGCACCTCATTGACAGGGGTTACTGGGTTGAGAACTCAAAGATATTTCCTCAACCATTTCCAAAATTGAAGCAAGCAAGAATCACTGAGCCACAGCTTCTTGCTTCCAGCTGATAAAGCCATGGTATTTTCTCAATTTTTTGTTCAATTTTATTATATATTTTTTTTGTTTTTCAGATAATGGTGGAAAGAGTAATGGTTTTCAGTTTTTTTGTTTCGGTGTCTGCTTTTTTTTGTTTTGGCTTGGCTTTCTGTCATATTTGTTTGGCTTTCTGCTTTAGTTTGTTCAGATGTGTGCTGACTTGTCCATGACTTTTGTTTAGTTGTGTTGGTTTTAGTTTTTTGGATTATGAACTCATAGGTTTAGAAGTTTGGTTAGTTTCAATTTCAATTGGGGAAGGGGGCGTGTAATGATGTTTTTCTATTTCAGAAATTGGTATTTTTATAGTCGAGAAATAAAAAATTCTCTGTTGGATTGTGGATATGTGTGAATTCTTTCTGGAACTTGGTCTTGAGGTAAGTTTTTTCTACATGTTTTATTATTTTCTAAATCAGATATGGGTATTTATTGTGTCAGGGGATGTTCGGATGGGACAAAATACCTATGCCACATGTGATACAGTCTGAGCACTCAACAGTGTAAAATTGAAAAAACAGAAAAATGTAGAGAAATATGTCAGATGGTTTATGATTTAATTTGTAAAATATTTTAGAAATCTTGCATACTGACCCTTTAATATATATGTTATTTTAATTATTATTAGATTACTTTTTGGTTTATTGAGATAAGAAGATATTGGTGTATGGTTTCAGATAATGGTGTTGGAATATGGTATCAGATAATGGTGTTTGACTATGATTTCAGACAATGGTGTTTGTCTAAAAGGGTGAAGAAGGTAAGTTTGAATCTTAAAATATCTGGAAAGTTTTTTAAATAACTAGATTTTACAGAACGCTAGCCTAATGTAGATTAGAATCTTTACGGGCATTGATTAGGTTTTGATTGACTGACCTGAAATTAATTTCATTTTGCACAGTCACTTTTTTGAGTTTGAGATTCGACATCGAATATGTAAAAATGGCTTTAGAAGCACTAAAACTGTACAAAATTTGCAAATAAGAAAATTGAAAGTACCCATCTTATTCCCTGTTTTTTTTTATTGCAGTTAAGGGTGATATAGATAACAGATTTAGGGTAGGCAGGGAGTAATCCAGCAGGGAGCTCATCGTCGCTGTTCTGCCGAGATGGATTGATTGGTGTGTAGGGCAAGAATTTGTAACGATCTCTCACAGCATATAAAACAGAAGTAAGTTACTCTTTAAAAGGAAGAAATAAAGAAAAAGCAACTTTAAAAAGGATAGCAAATGGATCAGCAGGTCCTTGGAAAAACTTCAGATTATAACATTTGACCAACATCTACTTGACTTTACCAAACAAAAAGACTCTAATGCTCTAAACAGTTGTGCTACAGCTTACAGTTTATATATACAATCTAATATTAGATTTATCTCTTAGCATTCAAAGCAAGACTATTACATCTGATATTTTAGTCTAAAAGTCAGTTTACAGAGCATGTTTTAAGAATGAAGGCATATATAATGTAATGGGTGGGTTAATTATGTTATGT